ACACTAGGTCATCCACGGCTGTTCCACGCAAGAAGCCTTGAACCAAGTCTTTCAAGCTGAAAGAAGGACAATTTAATGGCAACAGAAAGAAACTGAATGCTCGTCTCCTATCCACGCTGAGCTTGCTTCCCTAGTTCTTAGGTTCACCGAAGGCAGCTGACAAATAACCATTAGCTTCTGCGGGTGTCCAGATTTTCCTTCTGCTTTGGGCACTGCATTCGTAATGTTTTCAGCAGCAGTCTCACTGAATTCACGGATCATTGACTCACAGCTGAAGTCTCGGCTTTGCTATTTTTTGCCCTTGGAGGCCAGTTATAAATGGTAGATCAGGTGCAATTCTACTGAAATGTGATGATCTGGTCAGAGCAGGCAGCCTCAGTTTTCACCCACTGAAGATAACGGGCCTTACCTCAAAATAAATACCAAGCTAAAAAATAACAAAACATTAGTTTTGTTATAAATGCATGGAAGATGTGATTGGAAGTGCTGTGAGTTAGAGATATAAATGTTGTGCTTATAGGCAGACATCCAAAATTAGTGATGTTCTCTTCTATGGGGTTTCAGATATTATTTGAGTGCTATTTCAAGGCTAAGTTTCTGCAAGCTAGTGTATTAAATATTAGGACAGATCCTAAGCAGCTTTTTTAATGCTTATATATTTCAACATCTCTGGGCTCGAGGATGAAAGCAACATCAGGCCCTTCATTTCTGTAAAGCACCTGCAGAGCCTCACATGAAAGACACTTCGTCAAACAAACTAACTTCCAAGTCTTTGACTTTAGGTAACTCTCGTTCATCAAAAAAAAAAAAACAAAAAACCATCCACTGACTTCAGAGGCAGCTTTAGTGAATGCACGCTTCAAGTTGTCATCTTTCAGCAATATTTTTAAGACAGAGCCAGCTCCTGAGGAACACTGAATACCTGCAGCCAACTCCGACAAGTTCTGCAGGTTCTTAGTTTCTGCTAGGATTTAACCTGTAGACAAGAGTACCAGGAATGGTTTTTTCTCTAGGATGGCCTGAGCCTTGCCTTGAGTATGTGGATGTGTGAATTTTAACACCACCTGTATTTTTCTTGAACATAAAAAAACCCCACTTAAACCGTGTCCTACATGCCCGAGTCTGCACAGACCTACTCGCATTGCATGCTGTAACAGAACCCTCCTCTGATTTTAGACAAGTACAAGGAGGAAGAAGACATGCCCTTTCTTTTTTCTCACTGCACCACCTTGGAGCAGTTTATTTCAGTACAAACTGAGGATTTCCCTTTGTCTTTTAATCTTCAAAGAGCAGCACATCGTGCTACGCTCTGAAACAAAACTAGAATTTCCGAAAGCCCCCAGCACACCACACGCTGCAGCCCATCCAGGGCTTGTGCAACGTTTGGTGTGAGGCCAGTGGATATTCAATACAAAAGGGCTCAGTGTCAAAAGCAGCACGTGGAGGATTCGGCAAGCAGCTCTCATTAGTGCCAATGGGAGCCTGGCTACTAAGCCTTCACACCTCTTTAAAGATGTTTCCTCTGTCTTTAATAGGCATTTGCACAAATCTACTCTGAAGCTGAGACCAAGCAGGCAAAAGTTTTAGCTGGGGAAAAAAAAAAAAAGTCTTATCCGTTAGAAAGCTGGCCCTTTTCCAGAACGGAGAGCATCTGGCCACCAGCTGTGTTTAGAGGACAGCACGCGTAAGGAATAGATCAGGGGAAAATCTGAGAAACAAGTAGACAGTACTGAAATTTGTCATGAAAAGAATACCAGCCTTCCTCTGTGATGTCCAAAACCTTTGCCCTCCTACATTCCCCATCCTTTGCTCTTCCCAGCTCTCAAGCCTTTTATTGGAAAAGCGCCCATTCAGGAGAAGACAAATACCCTTTCTGGGCTTGGGAAGGGATCCAGCACGGCTGTAGAGAGAAAAAACTGGGAAGTGTGGAAACTGGTAGCATGTGAGGCAAAATGGAAATGTAAGGACATTCTGGAAACTAAGGGAGGACCTTGTAGAGAGGCAGAAGGAAAGATGTGCTGTGAGGCAGGGGCAGGATGCCTGTAAGTCCTCAAATACAACAGCAATGGATTAGTATACAAGAGACAGATGGAAAGGAAGCAAAATAGCCCTTCACTCATTACAGGCTAGAAAGTTATGATTTAAAAAGAAAAAAGGAAAAGAAAAAGAAAATCACAAGTTTTTCTAAGAATGTTACATTTTTTTCCATTTCACCTATATTGGAGGCAATATTTTTCCTCAAAATTTGTAAATTATTGCAACTCATACAAAGACTAAAGAAGCAGAAGGCTTTTTATTTTCTAAGATAACACCATCTCTCTAAAAAATGCTAATAAAAAGCTCTGCTGGAAAGAGCCTGATCTGATAGAGATGGTATTCATGGGCACCCACGGAAACTCACATTGCTTTTTAGATTAAATTGACAACAGAGCCCTTCCCCCCCAGCCCCAGATTAATGGAATGAAGAATCCATGCATGAAACCACGTATAATAAAGCTTGGAGATTATGAAACAGGCTAGAAGACAGGATCAGAATTGCAACTGATCTTGATGAAGTGGGGAAATCGCCCCAACTAAAGCAGAACAAATTTAATACGGACAAGTTGAAAGTGTTATACTTTGGAAGGTGTAGTAAACAAATGCACAAATAAAAACGGGAACTCCTAGGAAAGCAGCAGTGAATCACCCAGGAATTATAACAGAAGACAGACTAGATCAAAGTAAGCCATGGGACGTTCTTGTAGAAAACATTCTGGGATATATTTTCTGATATGCTTTAGATAAACCACAGGGGACAGTTACTCTGCTTTGCTTGTTACCGTATAAAACCCCTGCTGGAGTACTGCATTTTGGGGAAACTGAGGAGTCATGAGGGAAATGACAGCAAAAAATCAGAGTCCTAGAAAATACCAGCAAAGGAACTAGGAAAGAATATACTAGTGAGGAAAGTAGGATAGTTCCTCTCATCCACAGAATAATCTTGTAAGAAGATCTTGTAAGATCATCTGTTCTTCCTGTCAATCAGGGCTTGAAGGAAAAGCAGCTAGATTTGCAGTAAAGAAATTCCAAATAGTCTCTTAGGAAAACCTTCTGATTACGAGGGTGGTGAAGGTCATGGATCCCTGTCACTGGATGTTTCAGGAGCCTGCAAGCTGCACGTTGTCTGGCGTTGTTCAGCTAGACCTCACCCAGCCTCACAGCAGGAGAGGTGGACTAAAATCGCAGTTTTCAAACTCTGGTCTGTGGATCCACACAGGTCTGATGACTACTCCCAGGAGAAATGAATGCTGGAGTTACACAGGGGCTGGCTCTTCTGCTGGCAAAAGTGATGGGGGTCACAGGTCGAAAAAGAAATGAAAGTCATGTTTTTTTTTTATTTTAAGGTTCCTTTCAGCTATACATCTATGACTTTGCGATTACCAGCGTTCTGAAGGGCAAAAGTTGTTCCCTTATAAATCAATTGCTGCAATCCCTTCCTGTAACAGCTTTGAATGATAGCTTCTTGGGGCTTGTTCTCTCCTACCATTTGCCAGACACCAGCAAAGCAGATCTCGTGGTAGCAGTGGGTGCCACACTTTCTGTCGTGCCCAGCCTTGCAGATGGACAAGCCCCCGAACATACAACAGGATGCGGGACTGCATGCAACGACACAGCTCTGCCGGCAAACTTGGGCCGTGTGCGTTTGGAGGCAGCCGCACTCTTTCGCTACAGCCTTTGGTTCGCGTTTGCCTTTGAGTGAGTGCCCAAACACGGTAACCACTCAGATCACGTACAGCCAAGAAAGGACATATTAAGCCCTTTATCTCTGAAAGAAAAGCAGTGAACGTTACTACAGATACTCTTAACTTATCAGAACAACGACTAGCACAGGTATCAGTGTTTCCTTCCTAATGAGCCCCAGGCAAGTTCCTACAAATGTTCAAAAGGCAACACCTTCCAGGGGCAGCCTGGGCACACAGGACTCTACATCCCCTTACCAAAGCACAGTTAGTACTTGAGCTAGAACCAGGGGCACAACACCTGTGGCTATCATTATAGCATTAGATGCCAGACTGCCTATCCACAGGTATACCCATGGGCATGTTTCCCAGAAAAAGCTATTTTGTCTACGGATATATGCATATGCAACTCCTGATTACTTTGTTGGGCACTACACATGTACCAAAGGGAATAATTTTAATATCAGGATTATTTTTGAAAAATTTTGCTATTTTAAACCTTGAAGCTGCGGGGTGAGGTCTGCTCCTGTCTAGTTATCATTGGCATGGAAGGATGGGTTTCCATGGATGAGGAGGCACACCAAACAACAAGCACCCCTGTGTGTTGCTGTTGCATTGACCATGGTCTCGCTTGTCTAAGATAGCAACATTCACACAGAAGTTGCCATTACCTAAATGATCCAGACAACATCCTGAGTGAACATCTAGTATGCAGAAAAAAAAAAAAGAGTCTAATTGACTGACATGCTGTGTCTCTGTGACATTAGTGGCAGTTTAGACAGTTTTGTAATTTGTTGCAGAAACTGTAAAGGCTTTAAAAGAGCAAGCACACAGGAGGATTTACACCTCAGAGTCATAAAACAGCTTCCTACCGTGTTGATAACTAAAGCCAAAACGGTGGTCTCTGAGCATGCCAAAAGCTATCAACATGGAAGAGCACCTGACATAGACACTTCAACAAAAGAACAAGAGGTTAACGTGCACTGTCAAAATAAAACTTCTAAAGTCTATGAACTGGGCACAGTTTCTGGACGACATGCTAGAAAATAAATACTATTAATGTCACTTTGACATGGAGAAGGCAACGTCTTTGCCTACTTCTTGCTGTGGTTTTCAGAGACAGAGCATCAGGAATGTCGTGGCACGGAGCAGATTTGTCTTGCTAACGATATGCTGCAAAATAAATGAAGCTTTGACATTAAATCACACCCCCCATCCCACCCCACCCAAACCCTTCATTGTAGATAACCTATACATTCTCAGGATACAGTGAGAAATCATTCTATAGTACATATTTAATTATAATTTAAAAAAGTCTAACTCGGACACAATCTCTGGCAAAGTATTGACACATTACTGAAGTAAAGATCTGTTATTATCCCTTCACTGTAACAAACAGAAATCAGCATCTTAAGAAGGGTCTCTGGGGTATCATATCACAACCAATCGCACCAAATAAAAAAATATGCTAATTTCACAAATGAAGTTTGACAAGAAGTAACATTGCATTTGTCTCGGCAAAACAAAGCACGAACGTAACATTTCACAGGTACAGTTACCATGCAAATGCATGTTGAGTTTTTCATTGTTTTTAACTCCAAATCACGAGTAGCATGCATTTCTCCTGCTCCCCCAACTACTGTATTAGAGATAGTCTGGGTAATGTACCTCTTTGGTGTAACCATAGCCTGTTAGGCAAGATTATACCACCTCAGGAAAGAATACAAGCAAAACTTGATCATATGTATGTTTACACAATGTACATTTTACCATTTATAAAACCAAAACATGTTACATAGATTCTCAAACACAGCTCTGTTGAAAATGAAGTTTTAAGCTTAAGAAATAGTTTTTAAACTACAAGGCCACCCCATTATTTTTTATGAACAATTTAAAAAGTTCCCACCCCTAAAAATCTGCCAGTATATTTCCTCAGCTGTTAACAGTCTTACCCACTCTCTAATACAGTTGATCTTTGCTTGACAGCAGTAACAGTTCTTACATTTCTTAAATGCATGAGATAATGGACTTCGGGATAGATATAGTTCTTAAATGTGTAACACTGGAACAAATCCACCTTAAATGATTAATCGGTCAATTCGGGTGTTCCCTGGCACCACCGCTCAGGCAGGGGCTTCTGCTGTTCACTGATGTGAGTTCTGGCTTTTGTTGGCATCAAGCTCCACAACCATGTGTGTGTGTATGTGTGTTCAGAATTTGAGTACAACAGCGATTCACTGGATACTCTTTTACCCCGTTTGCCCAAAAACGTGGAGGAGCTTTGTTTTCTGTATTACCTCATCCAAACGAGGCCGCAGCCCCAGCACAGCACCTTTGGCCAACACAGAACTATTTGGATGCGAAGTAGAAATTTTTTTTTTTTTTTTGTAGTCATTTAAGCAACTGCAACGGGTTTAAGCAACTGCAACAGCAGACTTAACTTGCGGGGTCTTTATTAGAGGGTTACTGTCTTCCTCAGCTTTACACAATGGAGCCCTTTGAAGAAGACAAATGAATCGACTGAATCCTTGTGGCCAACGTCCTCTGTAAGTCCTGTAGTACATTTTGACCAGATGTTTCTCCGTTCTTGTCATACAGCAGCTGTTTGAAAGCTTCGTTTTCAATGAGGACCATCATATTTTTTAGAAAGTAGCCTTCACAATAGGAAGATAGTTCTGTGACTCCGAGAAACTACAAGAAGTGAAATTAGAGAAAGATAACCATTCTGATAAAACCCGCTTAGCAAATACAGTGCATAAGACCTGCACACAAACAAATACACAAGCTAAGCCTTTCAGACAGGCACAGTAATGCTTACAGATATATGCGTGAAGGGGCAGGAGTGAGTTAAACTATTTTATGCTGATGATTCTGGTAACAATTCCATGTTATAAGACTCTGGTTGTTAAGGAAACAAACTTCCAGGGGCTGAAGCTTTGCTCCCTTGGAAATTGATGGGAGTTTTACCACAGAGTTCACCAGACCCATGATTTCATGCTAGAAGTTATACCCTAAAACTACAGGTTTGGGAAAACATACTACAGACGAAGTTTCATGAATGTCACCCTTAGCAAGGAGGGGAGACATGACTGCAGAAACCTGTCATGCAAAGTTTCATGCTTTGAGGAATCTTTGGAGGAGAAATGGAAGTTTGTAGAGTACGTGGTTTGGGGCTGTCAGTATCTCCCTTACGCTGGACACTGTGTCAGGGTAATAGGTGCTGTAATGTGTGAGCACACCTTAAACGTGTGAGTGAAAAATGTATGAGCAAACCTTAAATGACCAGTACTGGTCATCACCCACTGGCTAGGATCCTGTGGTCATACAAAGAGTATAGCCATGATATTCCACTATAGGTGTAATTATAATCCATGCAAGCGTAGAGAGCAGTGCTCAGCCCATCCTCCTGCCCAAGTAAGCTCCTCCTAGGTCCGAGCTCTCAGTAAAGCGGGAACTTTTGGCTGCGAGGTGCAGCCTGAAGGGCCGGAACTGCTGGGGCATTGCATAGCTTTGGGTCTAGACTGGAACAACTACACAGCAGCATTGCCCACCACCACCTTATCATGTTCAGAACTAAGAATGGAAATTGCTAAAAAATAAGAAAAAGAAAAAAGAAAATAAATACAGATTAGGGCTAGGTAGGACCTGTCTTCCCGAGGAAAATGAATGAATTTAACTTGATTTCGAACTATGCAAGTTTTCATCTAATTATGAGCGCAATATTTTGCACCTGGATGTGAAGGCATATGTGTGAATATGTATTCTCTGAAACACCATTCATCCCTGTTCATTACTTCAATATATTCACAAGATTGAGGAAATAATGTACTTTTCTTTTTGAGATTTGTTCTGAGGCCCAGACTGCAATCTGTGCAAGTGCTGAGTGTTTTAGGCATGTATTTGAAACTCCAAATGATTTTGTTGGGAGTTTGAGGGCATTCATGTAAAGCACAACTGTTATCTAGTGGCAACTAGTCAATCACCATTATAAATCTAATTTGCTCAGTTACTTCATTTCTTTCTGGGAGCAAAGAACAGTGACAAAGGCTTTGAAAAATGAAACTCTTAAAGTGATACTAATCAAATTACTGCCTCTGTAGATGTTGGGCCCAACGCTGTTTAATATCTTCATACGTGATCTGGATGATGGGATCAAATGTGCCTGGATGAAGTTTGCCAATGATACCAAACTGAGTGGGGAAGTGAGTGCTTTGGAAGGGAGAGCCACCCCGCAGGAAGACCTGGATAGGCTGGAAGAGTGGGCTAACAGGAACCTTATGAAGTTCAACAAGGACAAGCGTAAGGTCTTACACCTTGAAAAACATAATCCAGGAGTGCAGCACAGACTGGGATCTACCCAGCTGGGAAGCAGCTCTGTGGAAAGGGACCTGGGGGTCCTGATGGAAAATAAGCTCAGTAGGAGTGAACAGCGTGCTGCTGCAGCAAAGAAAGCCAACAGGGTGCTGGGATGCATCAATAAGGGCATCACCAGCAGAGATAATGAAGTCATTATCCCACTCAGCACTTGTTAGGCCACACCTGGAATACTGTGTTCAGTTTTGGTCCTCACTAGGCAAAAAAGATGTAGACAGGCTGGAGAGGGTCCAGAGAAGGGCCACAAAGATGATCAAAGGACTGGGAATATGAGGAAAGGCTGAGAGAACTGGGTTTGTTCAGCCTTGAGAAAAGAAGACTTAGGGGAGACCTTATCACTGTGTTCCAGTATTTAAAAGGTGGCGACAAAGAAGATGGAGACTCCCTTTTTATAAGGGATCACATGGAAAAGACAAGGGGTAATGGGTAAAAGTTACTCCTGGGGAGATTCCGATCGGACACAAGAGGAAAATTTTTCGCCATGAGAACAATCAGCGATTGGAATAATCTGCCCTGGGAAGTAGCGGGTTCCCCACCATTGGACACTTTTAAGATTCAGCTGGACAGGATCCTGAGCCATCTTGTCTAGACTGTGCTTTTCCCAAGAAAGGTTGGACCAGATGATCATTGAGGACCCATCCAACCTAGTCTTCTATGATTTTGTGTTGCAATTTTAAGAATGGAAAGGCCATAGGGATGCCACAGATGACTGTAATACTCTCAATTCAACTTTTAAATTGTAAATGTGACCAAATCCACATTGTCTCGCCTTCTGACCAGTACTTCACCTCTTTAACCCAGGGTTTCAATCTCTTGTTCCTATAGTTCCTTTTACACAGCTTACCACCCTGCTAAACACTGTTCAACAACCAAGGCCCCCACCACAGCTAGCTTTCCAAATCTGTGCTCACTTTGTGCTATGCTTCTACCAAATCATATCTTTCTCTCAATCATGATGACAAAGACTGTGCTCCATGTGTCTCTGGGCCAACCTGCTTGCACATCCCCATCTTGAAAGGCAGGTCTCAGCATTGCCTGTGTTCCTGCAGGTGCAGCTGAGCTTGCCAAGTAGCAAGGACTAGAAATGCTACAACAGGAGCAAGTTACTCAAAACCTGATTGTGGCTGATGCAGTGGTTCCTGGCTTCAGCACCTGCTCACCTTATTTCCATCCTGACTATGGTCTAACACGAGCCTCTTCCACACTTCAGAGAGCAACGTAGAACGGCAGACGGCTGGCTGGCAAGCTGCTCTTAAAGTGCTTGTGAGCTCCCCTGGCTCATCAGGACCATCTGGCCTCTTCCGCCACATACCATTATCTCGTATTCACATAACAAACAAATGAAGCTATTGTGTGACAGGAGCGCTCTGGGCAGAACGATCTGTGCTCAGATTAATCACCTCCACATCACACAGACTGGGAGCAAAACGATGGAGTGTCTTCTCTGCTCTGCAGACAGCATAATAGAGAAGTATCTGAACTAGCTTTAAATGTGCAAGTTCAGGTCCTGGAAACCTTCTAGCTATAGCAGTATGAAGCTTAGCCCAGTTACTTTACTGGAAGCAGAGTAAATTAGCCCATGCAGAGCTCTAGGGTGATGCGGCTTAACTAATTCCAGAAGTCAAGATTTCATTCACAGCTAGCTTAGCTATCTCTGCAACACATTACCGACATCAGTGCAAACATGACCCTGGCCATAAAAGCTGCTCAAGTACACCGTTTCCACTGCCTCCATTGGGAGATGTAGGCACAAAAAACTTGCAGGCTGAGGCCCTTACAGGCAAACAAGGAGCTGGATTTAGCCACTGGGTTTGCTGAGTCTCAGCATCAGCAGTGTACAAGTCCCTCAGACAGGTATAAAGCTCCGTGTAAGAACTTTCTTCAATCTACAGCCACATTTCACAATTCAAAGAAAACATGTGATTTTAAACCAGAATTATTCATTTTACTTTTAGTAACAGTAATACAAATCAAGAAGCTCCCACATGAGCTAGAAGATAAATATTTTTCAAAAGATTCCTGCACTGCTGATTTTTTTCCTATTACAATAAATGGACCTGCAGATAGATCTCATTTCTTATTCATTTTATAGGCAGAACTTCATGCTATTTCAAACACTGATTGCACGTTATCTGTACATCAAGATCTAACATTACTACTCTCTGTAGGAAATACCTGATGATGGGAAAGAAGGTCAGATCTGCAGGGGTTTGGAGCAATCTGCAGGATTACTCTGTTCAATCAAACCTCTATGTCACACTGCACCATTTTATCTTTCGTATAGACCATGTAAGTTATAGAAAAAAATCACCTAAGCAATGCTTTAAAAATATTTCATTGCAACTATCTGTACATCATTTCCACCTTCCAAGTGAAAGCCTAACTACTAAATGCACAAGAGGAGGAGAAAACCTGAAACTAATCAATGTGGCAACCACCTCCATCAATGAGCGAAAATAGGTTTTCTATGTCAAAAAATGCCATGCTTTTATGCCTAATGACTTAGGCTCCCTCACAAGCTAAGTAAATAATTTGATTCCAATAAGAAGCTGTGAATCTCTCCTCTCCAAGACATAAAATTCTCATTACCATCCTTGCACGGCTCTGAGACATTGCACTTTGACAACATGGCATTTTTATATATTGACAAGCTGTCACCAGCATTGAGTATATCACCCCAGCGGGCTTCAGGCAGGAGGAAACAAGAAATTGTAATGGGAAAATGTAGCTTGGAAGGTGAAAGAGAGGCGTCTTATTTACTTAGGTGACTCCTGTTGAATAACCCAGCAGTTTGGGTTGCCATGATAAGGGGTAGGTCGGCCACATGGTGGTACGCTCAGATTAAGTTTGAACCACTTAGGGAAGGGGACGAGAAGTTGCCACTGATGCTCTTACACTACATGATTTAGGACTGTCACTACACTAGATACCTATTAGCCACTCAGTCCCAGTAAATGAATGACAAATCTTAAATACATAACAAACTTACAAGGCATATGATATATGTATCACTACTTATCATAAAAGTGACCTATGAGTATGATGACAGATACATAACATGCAAGTATATGTGGTTATTTTTACCTTGGCGTGATTATAAATATCCACGCAGTTTTCTGTATTAATGCTTTTTGCACAAATGATCTCACAGTGTCGTTGTAAAGCTTCAAGCTGGAAAAATTTAGCAGCAGACAGAAGCTAAAAAAAAAGGCAAGGAAAAAAATAGTCAAAACTGCTGAGCGATACAGAATCAGAGCTTGCTTCTTTACTGCTTCATTGTATTTTTTTCTCTGCCCCTGCTTCGGTTAGCATGAAAGTCCTGACAAACAGTCAGAATGAGAAGGTTGCTTGGTTGCTTCAACCCTTTTCAGTCCCCTCAAGATCACACTGTGGGCAGCTGTAAATAGAGAGACCACCACCAGCTGCTCACATCCACGTGTGACTTTGGAATGGGGTGGTGGGGTGTGTGTGAGAGAGAAAAAGGAAATGGCAGCTTGGAGAGTCTTTGGTCACTCTGCAAACGTGACTCTGCGAGGAGGGATCTGCAATTACATTCCACGAAAAAAGGGTTCCAGTTCAACCACTCCCCAAGCTCTGGCTTAAACAGAGCAACTGGGCTGGACGTGGGGATGTCAGCAGAAGGGCCAGGACCAAGGGTATAGAGGAACTCAAGCCAGGTGATGATCACCACCCTGGGCAGTCTTAAAAATCTAGAGAGACAATAAACCTCAAATCTGTCACCTCGGCAGGCTCAAGGAAATGGAGTCAGATCTCCATATACTCCTTGCTCTAGCTTGTGAGCAGCAGTAAGGTCATGTCCAGGCCACGGGCACTGAAACACTGTCTGGCTCCACATTATTCTAAGGAGTGGGTGCACAGCGGGATACAATGCAAAGGTGGGAACGAGCTTGGCGCGAGGCACTGCCTAGTTAACGTCAGGTTATTGTTTTGTGTCTGTATTGCTACACGACCACCATGGCTCTCCTGCCATCAGGACTCAAGCTGACCTCCCTCTTTGGCCCTGCATCCACCCTATGGATATATCACCTGGACTGGCACGGCCTTGGGATCTCTGCATGCCACTGTACTCTGTGGGCATGACCTGAAGCCTGTGGGGTGAAAATGGCTTAAATTTTGAGTTCTCCAACTGATTTCAGTAGTGCTAAGATTTCCCCTATTGCCCCCTTTCTGTCCTTTTAGAGCAAGGAAAAGGAATTTAATTTTCTGTCCTTCCATGGTAGGTCATTGCCTCTGGCTCTCTGCTCTGGTTTAGGAAACAGGTTGGGGTTCTCCATTGCTTGACACCTTGCTCTAACCTAGCCAGATCTCTTGGGTCAAGCTGTTCAGGTGTTTAGGCATTTATACAGCCCTTATCATCTAGGACTGCACGACAAAAAGCTATCCTGTGAATCCCAAAAGGGCTCTCATGCCGCTAGGTAGGAGCACTGGGGAACAAAACCCTGAAACTTCCATGACATTATTCTGACTTCTCCTATGCAGTCTGCTCAAGCTCTGCTTTAATCCCATAAATAAATCCAAGTGCTGGAAATCTGCAGTGCTGATGTGATAGCAGCCAGCTGGCCCCAATTATGAATTGCAGCAAAGATTTCTGTGGAGTATTTCTGGTGCTTCTTGTTATCATATTTGTAATAAGGCAAGTTGCTAAATGCACTTTTGAAAGATAAAGCCAAATCCTATTCCAGCTGCCTCTGTGGCTCAAGCAGTCACGTGCTGGTTTGTAATTACTTTAAACTGTGAGGAACCATGGCCAGATCTGTTATCAACAGATCAATCAATCAGTCATACGTTCTTGAGTCACAGAAGTTTTGAGATGTCACAAAAGTAGAGCAAGCAGCCAGCTGAACTGCATCACAAGCTTTTTAACAGCCTAGGTGATAACACACGCATCTCTATAAAGCCATCGCACTGCCTAGTCTAAAACTCCTTATTTCAGAAAGCGTTAGAAATTCAGGAGCTTCTTTCGAAACTATGAGTGAAACAGAGAATCAGTGGCCCTTTCCTATAAAGCTCAGAAAGTCAATGTGGGTATGCTTAGTTAAAAATCCACTGCCTGCATTGGAGAGGGGTAATTTCAGTTCTGACCAGTTCCATCCTCTGGCTGCCAGCAGAGTTGGTACAGATGTCCCTGTACCCATCAGAATTGGTTTGTGCTGGCCACTTGTACCCCAAAGAAGATTCTCTCCCAATTTCTGGTTAGCAATACTTTGGTAAAAGTCAAGCCTCACGTGGATGCCCCACACAGTCGTGTCATAGGAACAGACTAATGTAGGCAACAATAAAACATCACGGTGACAGACTATAATCTGTACACCAATGATTACCAGCTGTTTAAGTGGCTCTGATTTTAGTATTTACTGTCCTGTGTTCTTTTTGGCTGTCATAATTTGGTGATTGTCAACAGGAAAACTTCCTGCTTAACTATCAAGAATTTGCCTAAATATCTGTTAGTTCTATATAGTTGGAGTCGTTAGGCTGATCACAGCTCACAATGACAGCACTTGGGAGAGGATGACTTAACATCCATACAGGTTGTGGATGTGCGGCTACACCGAAGGCTCAGTCAGCTCCAGTTGGCTTGGTTCGGCTTTCACAAATGGGCACAATGACACCGGCTGTTTTACATCCAGTGAGAAAGAGGCAAAGAAGTTTCTGTATCTTGGGGAGCAGTTTAAGGTTTTATTCAGAAAATTTGACAGTCACATGCTTGAAATTGAACTGAACTGTGACTCCAGTGGGATTTCTCCCACGGTTAAAGCCAGGTACATGCCCAAGAACTCTTCTGAGCAAGGACTTAAACTGAACGCTTTTACGCTGCTGATACAGGTCTGGACATGTAGGCCTGAGCTAATAAACCAAAAGTAAGAGTGTGGCAGAGGGAAGCTGACCAGCCCAGCGGGCGCAGAGCATCTCACCTATCAGGCTGAGAGAGAAAGAGGATGGTATACTATGCTGCCAGGAGCTGCTTCCATATTTTGGTAACAATAGCTTTGCATTTCCTTGCAAGAGCCTCTCAAAGCATCTAACTAGATATTTTTATTTCAGATACTTTTTTTTGCTTGATGATCATAATTTTTCTACTCTTTCTTCTCTGACAGTCAACTTCCTACTGGCAAAATTTACCATAATGGGCAACCGGCAGAGAGGGAAACCAAGTGTCCTCCGCAGGACTGCAGACAGCCTGGGCACTCCAGGTGAGGCACTGCTGGCTCTTACAGGAGTGCTCATGTCTTGCCCAATGGCCACGTGCCCTTGGGCAAATGGTACACAGATCACTTAGCATTGCTCCCACTGCAATTAAGATAAATGTCTCTTACCTCCATAATTTCATTATTTTTAATCAGGAGTGACTCTGCACCTCCATAATAAAGATACTGCATAACCAGCTGTAACAAAACAAAGGAAGTGTTTAAAAAAAGCAATCCGAGACATCAGGGAACAGGGGATGATGTAAAGATTGCAGGCAATACCTGAGGCTCTCCAACACCACCAAGGATTTGTAGATAAACTAGCCCAAACCTCTTGATTTCAAGATATGTTTGGTTACTCTGTCTCTCTGCACAGTTCAATGTTTCCTTCTCACAGGTAGTCTAACATCTCAACCCTCACCAGCCACATTGTCTGAACTTTCTGGTGAGCTCCAAACAGTTTGCAGGAAGCCAATCAATTAATTTGGAATTTTCAGTGTATTTCCCAGTATGTTAAGTACATAATTGATTCAGGAAAATATAGCATATACAGTGGTTATTTCCTTATTCCTTCCCTGGCAATGCCACCTCCACCTTCACCCAGCTGCGTGGGGGCATGCATGGATGATGAGAAAGAGTGGGGGAGGCTTTGCACTGTAATAGGAGCTAAGATCCCTCTGCAGTGAGCTTCCAGCAAGCCTAGAGTTATTGTAGGCAGCTGGGAACTATCTGCAGTGGTAACAGTCAATACATGGAACTGTCTGAGCTCTGACTCAAATAAAAGGAAGCATATATATGTATATGCTACAGATACAGAAAGCAAGCTCTGTGTTTTCATGGCAAAAAATTGATTGAACAATACTCCTAAGGAAAGGAATGAACTGTCTCTTCCAAGCCTGTCCATTAAATACAGAAAGAGCCAACAAGAGAAAAAAGAATCAAAGTGCTTTACCTTGATATGCACTGCTTTGTCTGCATAGCCCGTATAAGTGACATACATGCTATTGTATCCCGTCAGGCACGACATTTGCAATCAATAGCACTCTGCAGCTTAGTGTATGAATGGAGATGAAGCCTATGCTCACGAAACCACTACTCTGAGCCATGAGTTTATCAAATACATATGTACTAATTTGGACAGGGCATGTACGATGTTCCTATTACATGTTCCATTCAAATTCAATGTGAGAACTGACTTTACCTGAAAGATGGGGTACTTCACGTAGTTGATCTCAATACAAGTACTATCAGATGAGGGCTTGCTAGACAGCAATGCTTTAAACCTAAATAAAAAGGAGCAAGATTGAAATACCAGCCCAATTATCTCTGTGAAAAAGTATGGCAAAGTGGAAGGACAGCATCAGCTCTTGCAAAAACAGTACACTGAAATGAATGGATTTGTCACCAAAAAGCATCAAGATTTAGACACTGACATAAAATAAAGTTCAAACCAAAAGGAAGAAGCCTCTCTTTTAGGAGATTTCAATTTGAAATTTTGGAAAGATACATTTAATATCACAATAAAATAAAATATACACAGGAAATTCAGATTCTGTAATGGTGTATATATTACAAAAACAAAATAATTTTTTTCTTTTTTTTTTTCCTTGGAGGCAACATGATCTTTTAGGAAGACTTGAAACATTTAAAAATTGCATACCTCCTTTTTTGAAGGAGATAAATTTTGGCCTACGTCCATTATGCTGCTTTAAAAAAATGGTTTGGAACAAAATATTAAAACAACTACACTAAGACTTTTAATGCCTTCTATGCAGGCTGAATACAATTGCATAAGAAGAGGCAGGAGAGAAACCTGGATAGGTTGCTGCCCTCTGATTATCAAAACCTGAAATTCAGGCACAAGTTTCAGGAAGAAAACACATTTTAAGTTAATAATTGCAGATTTATGTGAGACATATGGATATATAGCCATCTATTTCTCAAAATCAGATATTCCTATTTGATCAGAAGGCGAAAATGGGAAATGCACCGTCAGAAACATCTGCCCTCGTACTTCCTCTTTTTGATAATTCATCTGTCCTTCGAGTGGTAGTGAAAATCTTGGCTTATCTATCAAGACCAGTGTTTGCTGAATGGTAACCTTTTCCATATCACAACTGCATCTTGTTAATTAAAATAAGGATAACAACTGATTTGCTTTTACTAGTGTCAAACTCTATTATGAACACAATTTAGTAGGTTTAAAGCTGGAGTTTGTAACATGTTTGTACCTCTACCAATAAGCTCTAAACCAAAATACTCATTTCTTAATTGAAGGCAGGGTCAGATACTGCAGTTGCTTTATGCAAATCTTGTTACTCTGTGCTGTGGGTTGGCAGCACAACTATCATCAATTCCTACATTGCTCAAACTACCCAAACTTGGTGGCTTGTCCTTGTCGCATCTTGAAATAAGCTCTCATGGAGGGCCAGCTAAATTTGTTGAAAAGCACACCTTTAATTATAAAGCTGCATACAAATAAAGATTGTGAACAGCTTTACAGTTGAATTGATCTGGGTAACTGACATCCAGCCTTCTGAGCACAGGGAACAGATGATAAATACTGCCTTTGGATACCGTATGATACGTTTCATAGTTATTTAATTTTATTTTAAAAATGTCAAATGCTGTCAATGAATTGTGTGACTGTAGCTTGTTTTTCCTGGAGACTGCCTACACCGATGCAACAGGCAGGATTTAGCCACTCACAGAATAAATGATTATTAAGATGTTTCTATGAAATCAAATTCTATTTTTGTTAAAAACCAGAAATGTCTCTATATTTTACCTTGGTGATGCAGTAAATAGCAATACTCTGTGTGCATAAAATGGTCTTCCTTCCACCAGAAATGTAACATCTGACATCTCTTTGTTGTTAAGAAAATGGGGATCTAGAATCACAAAAAGAAGAAAAAAAAAAGCCAGTAACTTAGTTTGGAAGAGGTCATGAACGTACAGAATATTTTCCTGTTTTGACAAAAGACGACAATAGTGTAAAAGGATATTGTTTTTAATGAGTAAAGCTCATAAAGCTATTTTGGACAGCCTGAGACAGAAGACCCCCAGACAGCCACACGGAGTTCAGACAAAGGGAATTAATTCAAAGCTTTGAAGTCCGTGAGGACCTTTGCTGAGATGACAGCCAGCCGACTCTGTCTTACGGAGCTGGCACAGCTTCCCTGCTCTGCTACCCAAAACAAACTGCAGCTGAACAGATGCTGGAGGGCCCTGCACTCATTTATACCCTATTACGCCCCTTTCCCTGTGTGGGGAAGTCTTCATGCCAAGGGGAAGAGGGTCCTAGAAAATTGCTTGGGTCTTCTCTCAGACACATTAAAACAACCCAGGCTCTGTCAGCAGGGCTGTGAGGGCTGTGCTGCCATGGCATCACCCTGAGCCAGCCATGGCAGTCTGAGATGTGGACAGACGTTTGGTTCCAGACCCTAGGCTCAGATCCCAGCCTAATTAGCAACACGGACAAATCTTTGCAGATTTACGGTCCCACTCTAACACACCTGATGACCCTCCTGATTTCAGCAAGTCAGGCTAAGTTTGGGGTCCTTCATTTTCCTAATTCTGCCTTTCAAATTCAGGTTTTCCTCTGACTTGTGCCCCGCCAAGCAGTCGGCCAGTGACACAGACTTCTCACAGCATTCCTCGGAGAACCAAAGAGTATCTTCAAGTCGCTCTTACCTAGGCGAGAGGTCTGCTTGCGCTTAATTTCAACGAGTTTTGGAATAGGGTACGGTCCATAGCAATGAGTGAAAATGACAGAGAGCTGCTGGCTGATCACTTCGTTCTAAGCAAAAGAAAACAAATATATGCCATGTCAGCTTAGTATGCAAGGTAAGATCAGTATGCAAAGGAGATGTCACGTTGTTCTCAAGAGTTGCCTGTTTTGAAGCTGAAGAATGTGATTGCTGAAACTTTATTAAAAATCAGAGCTTAGGATTATCAGTATTTCCTAGAAACTGCAATTGTCATTTACTTGATTGCTACGTCTCCTGTAGGAATCAGTTAAAATGAAAAGTCCTCTCCTTGGACCATAGGTCGTCTCTTCCTAGCAAACTCCATAGCCCCTGTCCCCTGCGTAGAAACAAAGGTCCTTTACAATAGCGGTATCATTTCATTTGCAGACTTACTGTACTGGAAAATGACTTTTTGTCGCTCTTTAGAAAATGGTCATCGGTCACGTCTTAGAAAACCAAACCTGCAAACAAATATAGAAATGCATGCAGGCTGTGCAGCTAAGTGCGACAGTCTTACAAACAGACCTTCCCTTACAGAGTGACTGAAGCATCATAGTCTGCCACTGAATCTTCTCATTCGATCCCAAATGTTTCATCAATGTGCTCTTACACTGCTGGCACTGGCCTGGGCACCACTGTCCTAAGGAAGCCACCAGACCTTCATAGAACCAGGTCTGGTCCCTGGCCTTACCCATTTCTGCCCAGACTCTGGGGACAAGGCACCTGCAGGATGCTTTAAGCACCTAAGCAACTGAGTATTCGTACACCTAAGCTGCAAGGGTAGTGAAATGGATTTAGTGCTTAACTACCTAAGTCACTGCTGAAAGCAGGATTTAAAAGCTTTGGCAAATTTTATCGCACGATTTGCTGATAACTGGAGCAGGTCTAGCCAAGTTCAACAGTGCCACACAGCTAATTCATGATGACATCTTTTAACTACTAATTGTTGGTTCGTGATTCCCTTCCAAACCAGGAAACTCTGAAAAGGTGAGGCACTTAAATATGAGAGGAATTCCAAGGCCAAGGAAATAAGCAGGTGAGAGACAAAAAAAATCTTAATATAAAAATTTGAGGAGTGTGGATGTTATACTAAAAATATATCCAAGTTTATAGAGCAGAAATTGAAGCTTTCCTTTCTCTGAGCACATTTCAGCTCAGTTCTAACAGCAGTGCTTCTCAAATCCCACGAGGGACGAGGAGGAGTTGCAGAGATCCTGTAATGACTCCCTTACTGAATCTAATCAAATGGGGTGGGAAAGGGTAGAGCTGCGCTCTCACAGGCACACGCTGATGTCAAAGGAAATTACACGCGCTCGCCCGCAGGCAGGAGTTGGCTCCTATTACTACGTCAGATGAAGCATTGAAAGAAACACTAAGATAAGAGAAATACTGATACTAAGGGACATAATTTAGCACAGCGCAGGGACCAGCCCTCAGAGAGGGGCTCACTGCTGTGGCTCTGAGACAACGAGAACATCTCGCACTGGGAGCATCTCTCTATTCAGCATCTTCCAGCCGGAGCTCTGCAAAGCACTTCACAAAGGGAGTGAATCACAGGGTGAAGAGAAAAGGAAGATTTAAGGCCAGATTTAAAGAAGGAAGTGACTCAGCTGTCAGGAGGGCTGGCGGGGAGAGCTCTAGACAGACAGGGCAGAAAGAGCAATTGCTTCTCTGCTCGGAAGGGCTGTGCTGAAGCGACGCGGCCGACTGAGTCAGCCAGGGAGGAGTGCGTCCGAGGGGAAGCTGATTACCAGCAGGGCAGATCCCAGTTGGATCTGGCAGATGCTAAGAAGTTGGTAAATACAACAGAGGATGGGGATAATTCCGTGGTTCAGAGCAGAGGGAAGTTTCTGGAGAGGAGATGTGTAATTGAAAGAGCAATGTTCACCTTTACCTGCAGTGAATAAAAGCAGAGTAACTGCACTAAAAAGGATAGATACTGGCACCTCCCTCTCGAATCTGCCAGGGTGCACAGGTCCTGTCTATGCTGCTGAGGTTTTAGTGGGTCCCTGAACTCACCAGTCCCAGCCACAGCTGTGCCTGGGCAATAGCTTTTTAAAAACACACATATACATCAATAAAAACAACTCATCTTCTCCTTCCGGGGTGCCTGTGGGAATGCGCTGATGGAAAATCTGGGTATTGACCTCCCAGCACCTTGTTAGGAGCTGGAGGTCTCACTCACCAGTCCGAGCCATGGCACTGCGTACTGGGACATCCAGGTGCACCGAGACCAGAGAATAACGGGCCAAACTCAGTCACTCAGGTGGGAGAAGAGGATCCCTGCTTGTAACTCCAACCAACATGATGAACGGGTCATGCACGTGGACAACCCCACGGGAGCCTGCCTATGCAGGCGACATGCTCCCAGGTCCCTGGGTCACCAACGGGGCATGAACTCTGTGGTGTGCAGATACAAGCCCATTATAAAGCCACCTTGCCACTGACTGCCAATAAGCCTGTGAAAAACCTGGTGTAAACTGAGCTCTAATTAGCTCAAGACGTGATATATTCACATGAGAGATGCTTAAAAACCCTGAGACACAGAACAGAGATGGGACAAAGAGAAAAGAGACCTTAGGATTGGCACATCAAAGAAAGCAGAGCCATCAGACAGACAGTGGCTCAACGCATTGCAGAGCTTCAGCCCTCCAATGCAGGACACTGATCTCATTTGGCAGAGAGGAGGTTGGAGACCTTTGGCTTCTGTCAATAACATTAAATACTTACAACTCATGCCACCGAAAGGCCAAAATATGTGCTCGGCTAGAAAGCTGAAGCATGTGCTCATTTAGAGTCATCACTAACAAACAGCAGCAAGTTTTCCTCCCAAGACATGGGGAGGGGAGCAGTGAGCTATTACAGCCGAGCAAGCTCGCTTCCCACACCACCCCACACGCAGCCAAGCTCAACAGGGCTGTGGCCCTCCATCTGCTCCCCGCAGAGCCTCTGCTGGCTTTTACCAATAAGCCAGGTAGAAAGAGGCAGCAAAGAGGACAGAGAAAAGGGATGCTTTGTCTGCGACTGGATGGCTGGGGAAAAAATTGGCTTTTTTAAGCCAAATCCTGCTCTTGGAGCAGGCTGAGCTGGGCCGCCTGTGAAGTAACTGGGAACAACCGCAAGAGTCCATGACCTGGGACATCAGCATTGCTCTGGCAGAGAAGAGGACGCGTCCAGCCTATTCAACCTTCTCCTTTGCACAGTGCCCACACTGGGAAGCTCAGAATCTGCCCTGGTTACCACATCCACCCCATTTAAGCATCGAGCTGGATAATTCTTCCCTGTTTACAGTATCACCCTACCAGCTGACTGTGAAAGAACAGCTGTAAGAGCTAGCTGCAGCAGTTGTGGGCAGCGATACTAACACCAGAGGAGCAAACCAAAGTTCGTTTTCTTGCTACAGTCTGATGTTGGAAAACATTGTGCCAGGATGCATGAGGTTGAGATCTGGAGCGAGGTCAGCTTCCTTTCAGACATAGGCGTTCATTCGCGAAGGGAGCCGATGCACATCTTCTACTGTGGGAGGAGGAAGAAAGCTTGGCATAGGATGCAATAAAAATATTTACCTAGCCATGGGGTAGTTTACAGATAGGCAAAAGGGAACAGGGAACAACAGTGAATCTTCTAAAGGAGACAGTGCTTCCAGCAGAGAGTTGGTCGGTGAGCAAGCAACTTTGCTTTGTAGATACAAGTGGCCTCCTGACTTAAAAGCATTCTTCAGCAGAGATCTAAAGGAATTCCCCACTCCTGGTGAATGCACTTGAACTGCGAGGGGAATTCATAAATTCTTTTGAAGCAAAGCTCAAGGTTTTCAAGTTGCTGGAGCAGAGATGACTAGTCAATTGATCTGAAAAGAGGTGAAGACCTGGGTGGGGAGTGCAGGGGTATTTTTCCTGAATGTCCATCTGATGAAGGTCTGTGGCAGGACTCAGGAAAGTCTCTTGCAGACTTCGGCACATACCGTGGGAGAGCTTGCTCCATTCCAGCTTACCCAGTTCAACCCAGCCTAGCCATTCTGGGATGTGGTCCTCCAAGGTACTGGACACAGCTGGGAAATACATAGCTGGTTTTCTCCAGTATCTGTGGAAGATAACATGTCATTTTGGTGGCTATGCTCCAGACTCTCAAGGTGAAAACTCGTGTTGGATTCAGCAGTTAGGCTAAGGTTTTGCCCTTCTCTGACCACAGTTTGCTTCAGCTGCCTCTTCTTCATAGGCTCCCCCATTCCCACACCACATCTCTCTGGACTGCTCAAAACCCGCTGCTTAGTTCTCTTTACTGGCCTATAGAAATCCCACCACCTCCATACGGCTGCCCTCTACAGTGGTGACAAGTTAGGCTGCTTTTCTTTGCCTCTGAAATCCCAAGCAGTACTTTGGGTTTTCTTTCTTTTGATGTTACCCTCACTAGCTCAGCCCCCTTAATGCCATTTTAACCTAAGCGTGCCAGGCCCTCAAATTCCTCTACCACAAAGACCCAAAACCAAATGCTCACCACGTTAGGCAGAAAAGTAACACACTTATTCTTCTGAGCTTGGTGCCTGCCTCTTAATACACATCTCCCCAGCAAGCAGAGAAACCATGCTGCTCAGGGAACGGGGGCCCCGGCAGAGGCATCTTATCTCTCCCTGGTCCTGAGGATGCTGGGGGGTCACAGGTCTCTGCTAAATGCAGGGTGGAAGAAGCGCTGTTTCTAGTCACCCATCTCACATGTATTTGGTCCCCAGCAGCTGTTCCAGCAGCGGCGGAGTCTCAGGATACCCTGAGCTCATTGAGGACTCATCCATGAACTTCCTCCCATGACACGCTGGGACACCCTTGAATTATTCCTCTGTTTATGCTCCCCTCTTCCCAGAAAGAGCCAGTAAAGAGCGAAGCAACAGAGGGGGCTTTTTGCAGACCCCAGGCCCCAGGCCCCGAGCACTCAAACTCTACGAGACTTTCTTTACCGTGTCTCTGAACTTTTTCCATCCTTGCCTAGGTGTTTCCGCTACAGTCCTCTTGCATAATTCACTTTTGCCAGCTGTCTCAAAACTGATTAAATGCCACTT